GCTCCAGTCTGGGCAACAGAGTGAGACTCTAACTCAAAAAAAAAAAAAAAATCGATATACATTACCAGTAGATGGCTGGATGTGGTAGCATTTCGTTTACCCTGAGCCTCCTTTCTCAAACTGCCATGAGATTTTAAGGGAGAAGCATTCGGAGAAAGAGCTCATGCCACACTTTTCTTTGTCACTGCTATTCTTTTCATTGAAAAATGCAGAATGCTAAACTGTAGCAGTTTTATTCCTACTTGGCTTCTTGTTATTTCAGGTAAGAGGAGCACATTGCCCCAGAAATGATTACCGGGGCAGTTTAGATATAAGAATCTAAACTTGGTTCTTCAGTGCATAGTTCACAGTAGTAGGACAAAATAAGGATAGACAGAGATCGAGGAAGTCCCAGATGAGCTCTGGGAGGGAGGGGATTGACTTTCTTCCATTGTTTTCCCTCCCAAGAGTTATTTGAAAAATGTTACTTCTCATTTTATATACCTTTGCATTGATTTAATAAGACATATTCATAAATAAAAAATAAGCATACATCATTGCATACTCCAAAGGAAGAAAAGAGACGGGCTTGTAATTAGAGATGACACAGTCCTTTATCCATTAGTGACACACCATGTGACTCTATACCCAAGTCTCCTGAACCCATGTTTTTCATCCTTTGATTAATCAACCAAGGGTGAATGCTGACCATGTATACAGCTCTTAAAAAGTTGGATGTACATGAATACGTATGCTGGAATAACCAGGCTTATCTGGAGCCAGAGAATGATGGATGACTGAATGAGGTGTAGACTTCATTCATTGCAAAGTGGGTGGCCTGAGGAATAGAGGAGAGAGAAGGATATGTAATGTGACAAATGATGGAGGCTGTGGTTTAGAAATCAGCGTGAGCTGATTGATCAAGTCTGCAGCCAACTGGGCATCTCTATTAATTGACACTTGGTGCTTTGCCAGCAGAGTTACTCACGTTAGTATCTTCAGTGCCCATAATATCATGGAGCATCTTCTTACTCATTCAAAAATTATTAAGATATACCTAAAAAAGGCTTAATACTGGTATGTGCCAATTATTCAAAACTAAATACATCTTGGTTATGGGTGGCAGTGGTCCACTAATCAGAATATTGGACAGACCCAAACATCCTGTCACCAACCAATTTACTTTCCCTTTCTACCGTACTGGAATACAGGAAGTTCGCAACATACCATTCCAAGAGCACATTTATAAATCCAATTTAAGTCCAACAAAGTTTAGCCTAGATACCCAACTAACACAATCGGCTATATAGTACTGTATGTATTTATACTATACTGACACCTGGTGGAAATAAGAAATGCATTAAAAATGCAGGTGTACATTATTAAAGTTCTTAACTTGAAGATTTGTATGTAGGGGACTTACTGTAATCAACCAAAGAGAAAAAAGGACTAATTTCTTTTTTTTTTTTTTTTTAGATTAGAAAATATAGTTTATTTAGAAAGTAAATTAGAGAAAGAGGAGATTCACCTCCCCAAGGTAGGGGAGGGGGCCAAAGCCAGGAAGCATGGCGATAGCCATAGCTCAAAGAGCACGTGACCACACCAAAGTCCAGCAAGGCAATGGCGGTGATGGTCTGGCAATGGCCAAAAGTCCAATTTAAATATTTGCCATCTGTGTTGCAAAGAGAAAAGCTGCTATGTGAAGAAAAGAGGGCTTAAAAATCTAACCTCGTGGTTCCTTAACTCTAACATGCATCAGAATCACTTTGAAGGCTTCTTTAAGATTGCAGAGCCCTACCCCTCAAGTTTCTAGTAGGTCTGGAATAGAGCCTGGGAATTTGCATTTTTAGCCAGTCTCTAGGTGATGCTGATACTGCTGGTAGAAGGACCCCACTTTGAGAACCATTGTTCTAAAAGATGAAAAGACAGTGATTCTAATGATCACCACCTTCCCCTCAACAGTCTTCTATCTGATTCTAAGAGGACTCAGTTGAGGCTGGTTTTTTTGTTGTTGTTGTTGTTTTTGTTTTTTTGGTTTTTTTGGTAGTTAACTCAAGAGTTCATTCTGTAGAATTTATTATGTGGCATTTGAAGTACAACATGCCTTCTGAATTGCAAATGTTTGTTCCATTCAAGGACCAATTACATATAAATAACTTTTAAAGGTCATTATAATGTGTCCAGTGCACCAACCTCAAGCAATCCTGTTTTTCTTAGGCAGGAAGAAAGATGTGTCTTTGATAATGTATTGTCTATGTGACATTTAAACATATGCACCTGAGCCTTCTCATTTATAATCTTATGGCAAGTAATTGTAAACTTCAGTTGCGTCTGTGGCAGATGACATTGATCTGTGTGTAGGACCTCAGGGTAGAAAGTGTGACTTCACTGTCTTTACCTATTTACTCTGAGAACATGTGTGTAAAATTATTTTGTTTGTGAGGTTCTCCCCAGACTTCCGTATTGTTGTCACCTATGACTGTTGTTACTCTACTGCAAGATACAGAACAGTCTTGTTCTCTCCAAATGACCACATCCAACCCTTCTACTGCAAATTTCCTTCTACTGCAAGTTTCAAGGGGTCAATGTTCTTTGGCTTTCATGCTATTAGTCCTTTTGAATCATCTGGATTTCAAAATACATTAGCCTGCCTAACTTCCAAGGAGAAGTCTTCAACCTTCTACCCACCAAAAGGTTCTAGTGATAACAACAAAAGTCATCACCAGGGAAAGGGTAATAGGATTTCATTGGGCCTGCACCATAGCATGAAAGCTGTTCCAGGTCCATTGCTTTGAAATTGCATAGCTCACCCCAATAGAACCACTTGTCTCAGCTGCAGATTCTTTCTCTCCGAGATAACCAGGCTTTTTCTGTATCTCTGCTCCATGCTGTACAACCATGAGAAAAATCAAAATAGTCCCTTTCAGTTGGCCAGTATTCCTAAAGGCCAAGGTGTCTGGTATGGCCTCTCCTATGTATTTATTAATCCTTCAATTCCTATGACTCTAAAGTCTGAGAATCCGGAGAATAGAAACATCAAACCAATAGTAACCCCAATGACAAAGGGCCTACATGCATAACCCAATTCACTAAACATAAAATTTTATTTAAATTATTTTGCTTTGTCTTTGGAAATTTATAAGAACTTTGCATTTTACTTCTAATACCAAAAATAATTTCCTCAAACCTTCTAGTGAAACTGATGTTCCAGGAAACACTCCACATTTTTCCTGTGGCTTCCTGGACTGCCCAGCTCCTTTGGTGCCTGAGGCTTTTGCCCCAGTTTGAGGAGTTTTGTCTGAGGATACAGTATGTATATGATCTTCCTCCCAGGCCCAGATTCTGTGGAGAGCAGTTAGCTCAATGAATGCATATGCAAAGCTTTGGTCTTGTGGTTCTTACTCAGAACCATCCCATGTCCCTCCACTTAGAGCCTTCATTATCATCTCTCCTGTCAGAAACCTCAGGATGCTTCTGGTCTTCTTCCTGTCTTACAGGAAAGAATGTCCTCTGCCTTAAGAGGAACAGGACAGATAATCCAGCATCTTTCATTTACAATTCTTGTATCTGGCAATCCTCCCTGGTTTAATGTTGATCTCCATCTGTTGTACTTTAATCCTGCCTGTCCTTGTCCAGTGAAGTAACCTCAGTCATTCAGGGGGAGAAAAAGATAGGGCTATCTCACTATTCCTTGTTAATAAGTCTTCAGAAACAAAAAAGTTTTAAGTGACTGACATGAAGTCAATCAAGTTATCTCAAGTCATCCATAATTTATATCATTATGTCAAAAATCATTGTATGTGAAATTTCCTCCTAAAATCTCAGCTGGATGGAAAGTATGGTTGTCTCTGGTCCAGCTGAAGGAATATTTGGTGAGAAGATTTTCTTTTTTTCTTTTCTAAACAGTACAGATGTGATCTAGGTGATTGCAACACAACTCGGCAACTAAATGCTGAACAGTTGCCTTTTTCCCTATTACTGACTTTCCTGCTGTGGATGCGCTAACGCCCAGGCAGGCAGGCAGGCCAAGAGGGAAAAGCTAAGAAACTGGCTTCAACACAGAGAAGTCTTAGGGGCTGGGTGCAATGACTCACACCTGTAATCCCAGCACTTTGAGAGGCCAAGGCGGGAGAGTTGCTTGAGCTCAAGAGTTCAAGACCAGCATGGGCAACATAGCAAGACCCTGTCTCTACTGAAAGAAAAAAGAAAAACAGAGGAGTCTTAGAAACTGTCCCTCAGCCTTGTCTCTGTTGCACTCCTTTAACCATGTGTTTTAATGTTTTAACCTCAATATGACATCTAGGAAGATAATGCAGCCTCTGGAAGCTGCAGTCTGTACAGACATCTGGAGGACAAAAGCCACCCCACATCCGTGCTCATTCCTACAAAGCTCTGGAAATTTTTATCTAAAAACTAAAGGAAGGTGAGGCAGAGGGAAAGAAGCTTACACTCACTGTGCTTTTGAATCACTGTCCCTTTATTCTTCCTGTACCCTCTCGATCAGTTCTGGGGATGCCAGACACGGTGGAAGAGATGTGTCCCGATATCCCTCAACTGGAAGGCCTGATGAAGGAAATTAACGACCTGGCCGAGTCAGGGGCCCGATACACGGAGATGCCACATGTCATTGAGGTGATCTTGCCCATGCTCTGCAACTACTTGTCCTACTGGTGGGAGCGGGGACCTGAGAATCTACCCCCCAGCACAGGGCCCTGCTGCACCAAGGTCACCTCTGAACACCTCAGTCTCATCCTGGGCAACATTCTGAAAATCATCAACAACAACCTGGGCATCGATGAGGCCTCCTGGATGAAGCGGATTGCAGGTACCAGTGCCTTTTCTCCCCAATTTCTGGCTCAGGGACTAAGAATGCTGGGTCCTCTTTTTGTCTTTATTATTAATGCCATGATGATTTTAAGCAAACTCTGTTCTATATTTAAACCTCCCTACCCCACCCCAGTTGTTGAACAGTAAAAAGAATTGACGCATTTCCCTGAAGAGCTTCCAGGAGTAAATGTTCTTGCCCCACTCCCCTACTAATCCAGGCTCTTCAAGTCTCTAGAAAGCACTTCTTTTTTTTTTTTGAGTTGAAGTCTCACTCTGTCGCCCAAGACTGGAGTGCAGTGGTCGCTCCCGGCCACCGCAACCTCGACCTGCTGGGCTCCGGTGATCCTTCTGCCTCAGCCTTCCAAGTGGCAGGAACTACAGGCGTGCACTACCACACCCGGCTAATTTTTTTTATTTATTGTAGAGATGAGGTCTCGCCTGCCCAGATGGGTCTCGAACCCGCGGGCTCAGACAATCCACTCACCTCAGCCTCCCAAAGGCGTGGGATTACAGGCTGAGCCACCGAGCCCGACAGAAAGCACTTCTTAAACTCTGCTCGAGTTTGATGAGCATTGCTTTATTTGCTCTTGGTACTTAAGAATCCCATTTGCTCTTACAGTAATAATTGTCCATAATTTTCTTGGTAAGTAATCCTGTGTGTATTCCACATGTGTAAAACTCATTCCCATCTGGGCTCCACTATAAGTCCTTTCATGCCACTCTGCATTCATATTTTACTTTTTGCTTTCTAAGACAATCTCTAATGTTGGCTCACAGTAGCAACACTTCATTTCTGGTTTTTTCTTTCTTTCTTTTGTATCCCTCTAAAATTCCTTGTATGCAGTAGACTTTTAATGAATGTTATTAGCCAATTTTCTGTTCCTGAAGCATCCTCAAAAAAGGAAAACAAATAGCCATGCTTTCCACAGTCAGGAAATCACACATATTCTGTGTCAAACTAGAGTCCAAGGAGACAGAAGGCAAAATCATCACTTTTGATGGACCTGCAATCTAGATAATGGAGCCCACCAGTAACAACTTTACAATGTAATCTCTTGGACCATGAATTCCAATGGCTAGGCAAAGGGAGTTATTAACCCAACACTAGATAGTTACTTTCCTGGAGAAAGGAAGAACTGTCTTCCTGCAAGATCAAGGAAGAAAGTGTCTTCTCTTCACATCTTAGAAATGAACTGAATCAAAATTATAAATATCTTGGGTACTTATGACTGCTAGATAACATTTGAATAAATAGAGTTAGCGTTCTTCTCTTATCCATCATCCCTAAAATATTGTTAACTCTAAGGTAATTTTTTGATGAGCTCTATTTTGTAAATCTTCATTAAGAGAAGGAAGGGGATCAAAACATCTGCTCCCTTACCTCCCTAGAGTTGCAGAAAAAGTGTCACAGGGTGAAGGGCACTTTTTTTTTGAATCACTGTCCCTTTTTTTGAATCACTGTCCACCACAAAATTCAGATGGAAAGTGAATTTTGGCATATCATTCCACAGGTAAATTCAGATCTCATTTGTTCAGGACATTTAATTTCTGGTGACTAAACAAAGTTGAGTTTAAATAATAACCCCAAATTGCCCACATCAGACATAGCCATTCTGATTACATACCCAAGGCAGAGATGCACCTCAATGAGAGCTAACTTCTTGGTTAATGCGTCTCATCAGAGAGTGCCCTTAACCTTCTCTCTCTAAACTTTTTTATAGCAGTTAAAAAATAAAAAAATAAGGGAAAGTGAGATTAAAAGTAAAAACTGTGAGAAAGTAGGCTGTTTCCAGTTGAAATACTCTAAGCTAAACAAACAAACCTTGGAATACATGTTTGAATGTACATTGCCAATGTTTTGTGCCTCTTATTCATTTTATTTCACTTATTTTTTTTTTACAATTAGTCTAATTATGAACTTTATAAAAAGACCAGTGGAATGGCATATTCCATTGGTTTAATTTATAATAGGATAATCAATATCTAATCAATAGGATCGTTTTTAAAAATAGGGTAAAGCATGTAGGTTTTATCTTTTTCTTTAAGTAGGTAAGAATTGTAGCCCTACCGATTACTTGTTTTTGCTTTTCAACTTCTAGCAACCACCTCCGCCTATTTCTGTTCATTTATAACTGATATTGGCATTATCTGGCTCCCTCAGGTCCCAGACATGCCTCCAAGTGTAGGATGGCAGTTCTCAAGTGTTGAGGGCTGAGAACAGTAGTTGGGTTAATGTGCCTTTAACAACAGATTTTTCTATAAAATAACCAGAAAGCATATACTGAGTGCCTACTTGGAGCTCAGCACAGTACTGGTTATTATGAATAAAAGGCTTCCTTCAGGAAGTTTAGAATCTAGCTAGTGAGCCAAAACCAACATGAATGTCCTATAAAATGATGCAAGATAGTCTGTTATGGAGAGCTAAGAGGTGCAACATGCATGAGGAGTTCAGGGGTGACAGGGGCCCCCCATGGTCTGGAGGAGCAGAGAAGGATAAGGATCTTCTCCTGTCGTGGCCCTTGGTCCCCCAACGCCCAAGTTGGCTTCATGAGAGGGAAGTGCCAAGGAAGAGATTGAGCCAGGGAACAAGGGGCAGCTGCCATCCCAAGTTGATGGGTTTCCACAGCCTCGACATTCCCGTATTTCTTCTTTTGTCTTTCAATGGTCACAATATGTGACATGAGGGAGAGACCCTTTGTTTGCAAACACAGTGTATGCCCAGCCGATCATCAGCAAAGCCAGACCTGACTTGCTGAGAAGCCACTTCATCCCAACTCTGGAGAAGCTGAAGAAAAAGGCTGTGAAGACCGTGCAGGAGGAGGAGCAGCTAAAAGCCGATGGTAAGGGAGACACTCAGGAGGCAGAGCTTCTTATCCTGGACGAGTTTGCAGTCCTCTGCAGAGACCTCTACGCCTTCTACCCCATGCTGATCCGCTACGTGGACAACAACAGGTATGACAGAAGTCTATGGAAGCCTGTCTGGCCCTCACTGGGGCTAATTTAAGGAACAGAATAGAATGGAAAGAGTGTTGGGCTGTTAATGGTGAGATAAAGGAAGGTGATAGCTGCCACCACCAGTCCCCTTCTCACCATCAATAGTCCCTGCTATGGAACCTCTAGGTAGTACTTTTCTTGACCAGTGATTCTGTATGGTCTGTGACATAGCCATTCCCTCCATCCTTGCAGGCTACCACAGGTCAGAGGAGTGGGCTGAATCAGGGGTAGCAGTAACCCAATTCTACCCCTCTGCCATTTATTCACACATTAGTTCAACCAATACGGCTTGACTATTGTCAGGTGCTGTTCTAGGCTTTAAGAAATAGGAGCGCACAAAACAGGCAGGTTCTCTGGTCCAGGGAGCTTTCATTCTGGAGCTAGGGAAGCATAGACAATAAACAACACTTATAAGTAAATTATATAGAGCAAGGTTAGTAGAATTAAAAGTGCCAGAGAGGGGAGTGGAATTTTTACATAAGATGCTACTGAGAAAGCAGTTTTTACATAGGATGCTACTGAGAAAGCAACATTTGGGCAAATACCTGAAGGAAGTGATACTGGGAACCATAAAGGTCTGAGCAAAGACATTTCAGGAAGAGGAAACATCAGGTGCAAGCTCTGAGAAAGGCGTATGTTTGGGATGTTTAAGGGATCACAAGGAGGCTGGTATGGCTAGAGTGGAGCAAGGGATGGGGGAGAGCATTAGGGGATGTTGGAGAAGCAATATGGGCCCAGGAATCCAGGCTGCTGTAAGGACTCTGGCTTTTACTCTAAGTGAGATAAAAAGCCGGTAGAGATTTTGAACATGTGATCTGATTCCCTCTTTGCGAACTGTAGTGAGGGACCAGGACAAGGAAGGAAGAAGACCAGCGAGAGGAGCCCAATGATCTAGTCAAGAATGGGTGGTGATTCTTAGAGACAAAAAGGAGATTAGCAATGCCAGGAGTAGGAAAAGGGGAAGGAATAATGGGGGAGAGACTGCTTATTGGGATTGGGGTTTCCTTTGGGATGATAAAAATGTTCTGGAACTAGATAGTGACAGTGGTTGCCCAACATTGTGAATGTACTGAATGTCACTATTGACAATTTTTTTTTTTTTTTGAGTTTGAGTCTCACTCTGTCACCCAGGCTGGAGTGCTGTGGCATGTTCACAGCCACCCCAGCATCGACCTGCTGAACTCCAGTGATCCTTCTGCCTAAGCCTTCCAAGTAGCTGGAACTATAGGTGTACGCTACCACACCTGGCTAATTTTTTTTTTTTTTAATTGTAGAGATAAGGTCTCACCATTGCCTAGCCTGGTCTCGAACCCACAGGTTTAGGCAATTCACTTGTCTCGGCCTCCCAAAGTGCTGGGATTACAGGCTGAGCCGCTGAGCCCAGCCTGGCAAATTTTACCACATGTATTTTACCACAATTTTTTTTAAAGTTGATGGTGGGTGGGGCCAGGGTGATATCAGTGAAGACAGACAAAAGTTATCAGATTCTGAGTCTATTTTGAATGTAGAGCCCTTGGAATTTCCAGACTGGAAAGAAAGAAAAGAGGAGAGTCAAAAATGATTCTTAGAGTTTTGTCTGAGCCAAATGAAAGATAGAGTTTCCAATAATTGAGATGAGAAAGGTTGTCAATACAGCAGATTTTTTTTTTTTTGAGAGAAAGATCAGGAGATAATTTTAAGACATGTTAACTTTAATAGTCTATTTTATATAAAAATGAAATTAAGAGGGCAGTTGGCTATAAGAGTCCAGAGTTCAGGTCTGGTATAGACATTTGATTTTGGAGTCATCGACTCATTGATAACATAATATTTAAGGGCTGTGAGACTAGATGAGATCGATACAGGATTGAAGGAGAGACCGAAAAGTTCCAAGGAATGGAACGTGTACTCTTCAATACTAAGAGGTCAGACAGAAGAAGAGGAACAGCAAATGAGACTAAGAGAAAGCAACCAGTGAAGCAGAGGGAAAACCAACAGTATGTTGGATCCTGAGTGCCAACTTCACAAAGAGTTTCCAGGAGGAAAGAATGACCAGCTGTTTCAAATGCTACTGATAAATAAGATGAAAACTGAGACCAGGCCATTAGATTAAGCAGCATGGAAGTTGTTGGTAATCTTGACAAGAGTGGTGTCTGTGGAGAATTGGAGATGAAAGCCTCTTTGAAGTGGGTTACAAGAATGAGAGAAAGGACTTGGAGACAGCAATACAGGCCACTTGTTCAGCTTATACTATAGCAGGGAACAGAGAAATGGGACAGGAGCTAGAGGCAGAAGTATGATCAAGAGAGAAGATTTTAAGATGGGAGATTTGCCAGGCTGTTTCTTTGCAGATGGGAATGATGCCATGGGGTGGGGAATAGGGTCATGTAAAAGAGAGACAATGTCTAAAATATTGTCTTTGGGCTGGCAAAGGGTCAGCCTTAGGTAGGTCATCCACAGCAACAGGCGAGAGGGCAGAGACTGTGGGTAGTGATGCTAGTCAGTATGTGTATCTATACATAGACATATACCTACATCCAGATAAGAAATATATAGTAGATAGATGGGGGTCTGTAAGAGTCCTTTTCTTATTGCTTCCATTTTCTCAGTGAAGTAAGAAGCAAGGTTATTGACTAGGAGTAAAGATGGGGAGAAAGTATATGGAGGTTTGAGGTGTAAAGAGAAGATTTGAGGTGGTTTCCAGGGAGGATGGAAGAGTAGATGGACCAGAGAAATGCAGGGTGATTACCTGGCAGCATTAGGAACCCCACTTGCTATCCTTGGTCATGAATTTAAAATGAGACCTATCAGCAGATTGTCTTTTTCTCCAGCCAAATTCAACTGTCAGATATAAGCCAAGAGTAGGGAGAGAGTTGGATTTAACCAGAGTTGGAATTTTACAAAGTGAATGTGGCAAAAATGGATTAGAGAGTTGAAGGTGTATGTAAGAGGATAATTATAAAGATTTACCATGGCATTTAAGCGGAATGATGAGGAGGATAGTGAAAACAGAGGAGAACAAGCAAAGGATTAGAGGATTGTTGAAGACTGAGTATCAGATAGGAAAGGTAGTCAGAAATGTGAAATGCATGGATTTAAGATTATGGGGTGGGCTGAGGTTGCAGTTATTGGTAGTGACCATGGGATTGTATACTGAGGCAGCTGGAGGGCAAGGTCATTAGAGAAGAGGACAATAAACTGAAAGGCCTTGGTACTGGAAAGATCATAGCACATACACTGAAGGCACTGAGAATGAAGACTAGTGACGTATTGGGGAGGATATCAATGAGGCAGCAACTAAAAGCATAGGTAAATTAAGGAGAATGGCTGAGATTAGTGGACAACTTGGTATAGTCAGATTAAATGAAATTCAAAACTGGAAGATGTTGGGAGACACCTTGTGGTGCATGTCTCTGTTCCAGCATTTGAACATCATTTAGAGAGGAGAGGTGGGAGCGAGCACAGTGTAATGAGTTTACCCAACCTGCTGCTCCCTTGTCTCAAGACCTCTCCCCCAACTTCAGTCATTCAAGGTGGTTGCCCAGAATCCCCATTGTCTCCCCATCTCTCACCTCCAGCCCTTCATACCACTCTATGTACTTCCCATTTTCACCTATCAGTCATTCCCCTGGGATCATGGTCATACGCTCTGCTGGACAGGCTGCATAGCCTAGCTCCCCATCATCCCCCCACTCTATAGAACTTCAAAAGTTAAAAGACTCTAATGATGTAATTAGGCAAGTTAATTCATGTAATGACAGAATTTTTCTCGGTAATTTACTCTTTCCTCAAGCTAAATATGTCCATTTGGTGCACAAAATTTAATTGACCCATAATTAAGCAATTATTTGAGAAATGTGAAGGATTATGGGACTATAAGTCTGTAAAATCATAAAGGACATTAATAGGGTGGACACAAACATTGCCATTGAATCTCAGAGTATGACATTAAAGACCCGTGCCCTTTTTATGTTTTTTTCTCCCTATAATCAAATATGTGTCATTTTTCCACACCAGATTTCTAATTCTGCAACACTAATTGGGTATCCAACAATTCAATTGAATTCTGACACTAATTACCCAGAGTTAGTGCTGATCCCACAGGTCAAGGGCTCAGTTCCATATGATATCCGCCACAAATGGCGTCTTCTGCCTGGCAGACAACAAATTCTGGGGTTGCCATGACCCCCTTCTCAGGTTTACTAATTCACTAGAACAACTTCTCTCTTTACTCATGATTACTATTTTATTAGAAGAAACAGGAACATCTAAATGGAAGAGTTACATAGAGAAATATATGGGTGTCCAGAAGCACAGAGCATCTGTACCACCCTCCCAGCACATCAATGTGTTTACCAACCTGAAAGCTCCCTGAATCCCATTATTCAAGAGTTTTTATGTAAGCTTCATTATGTAGGCATGATTGATAAATCATTGGCCATTGGTGATTGAGATTTAACTCTATCTTCAGCACCTCTCCCCTCCCCAGATGTCATGGGTGAGACTGAAAGTTCTAGCCCTCTAATCACGTACTTTCTGGTAACCAACTCCATCCTGAAGCTATCTAGCTCTGTCCCACAAGGGTTGCCTCATTAGCATAAACATAAGTATAGTCTAAGGGATTCATTATGAGTAACAAAAGACACTCCTATTATTCAGGAAATTCCACAAGTTTTAGGAGCTCCAGAAACCAGAGGGAAATACTAAACACATATTTTTATTATACTACACCCTCATAAAATATTTTTCCTTTTTTTTTTTTTTCTTTTTTTTTTCAGGGACAGCGTCTTGTTATGTTGCCCAGACTGGTCTTGAACTCCTGGGGTCAAGGGATCCTCCTCCTTACCCTCCCAATCACCCAAAGTGCTGGGATTACAGGTGTTAGCCACCACACCCAGCCTTAAAGTTTAAAGCCCTTAAATATACATTTGAGAATGTTTAATTTAAGATACCAATTATAGATATTGAAAGGATGCAGG